TCCAAAATCCATTTGAAAAATTGAATAATATTCAAATTTCTATCTTTACCACAACCTAAAAGACCTCTGAAATCAGAAGAAAGTTAAGGTCACAGCTTTCTTAGAAGACATCAAATGACACAAGAACACCACACAACCAGCTCTTAAGACAATTAAAAAAATCACACCAAGCTGAACATTGAAGCAACAACCATTCTCCATGTCTACTGAAAGTCTGACAACTCTCATCTTGGAAAAGCATTTCACAGCTTGCTTGGTGGATCAGTACTGTCAGAACTGGTAGACCTCCCAGCATTACCAAAAATAATATTGTTTTAGAGCAGATCCATATTAAATTCTATCATATGAATTAAAACAGTTAATTTAAAATATGTTAGTTAGATTTAGGCTAGCAAAGTTTCTTGCGTAAGCAAGGTAAGGGGGTTTTTGTACAGCTATATAGTCTTCACAGAAATACAACTTGTATTTAAGGCTGCTGTATGTCTGGGTTTCTCCAAGAACATCCTCTCTTTCATATTGTAAACTCTTCAGTGCTTCACAAGACAGATGCCTACGTATTTGAAGGTGCAGAAAGTCCAGTCCAGCTAAGCTGTCTTATATCTAGAAATTTTAAGACACAACCAGTAAAGAAACACAAAGCCCAACACCCAGACAAAAATATGGCAGTCTTACTTAGCATCGTCCACAGCACTCTTTACAAGTAAGGTCACACCTATTCTAGCATCCTTGCTTAGATAAAGAAGGAGCTTTTCCACACATCACCAAATTTTAAATTGGCTTAGAGCCTGGCTTAAATGTAAAACCCATGCATACATTTATCTCACTGTTTCTACAAATTTAAGGGCACTTCCCACTGAGGAATCATGATGAACCTACATGGGGCAAACACAACACAACAGAAGCAGCAATTTCAGCTGCAGAGGCTAAAAACTGTGTTGAAAGAAGAAAAACTTCTTTGCTCATCCTGAAGAGAAGGCTCCCAGGAGACATTATTGAGACCTATGAATACTTAAAGGGGGCTTATAAGAAAGACTGGGACAGACTGTTTGGTAGGGCCTGCTGCACCAGGACAAGGGGTAATGGTATTAACCTAGAAGAGGGGAGATTTAGACTAGATGTAAGGAAGAAATTTTTCACTATGAGGTGGTGAAACACAGGAACAGGTTGCCCAGAGATGTGATAGACGCCCCATCTCTAGAAACATCCAAGGTCAGGTTGGATGGGTCTCTGAGCAACCTAATCTAGTTGAAGGTGTCCCTGCTCACTGCTGGGAGGTGGAGCTGGAATAGGTGACCATATGTCACATCTGCCGCACTCATGAGTTTCACGTATGCGTATATTCCTATGCTGTCCACAGCTAGAATAGACTGGGAAAAAAATCTATCCACCAGATGGCATAGCTGGGAAGGTAGGAAACAAAAAAAAAAACCATCCACAAACCAGTAACTCAAACCCCTCTCCCTACCCCCCCCCCAAAAAAAAACCAAATAAACACAAAAAGAGTCCGCACACTGAAGCAAAAATGAGGCTATCATTTGTGTAATATAGCACAACTGACCCGGGAGTCCAGTTCTGCATGCCAGTACAAGAAGGAAACATTCTGATGACTAATGTGGCTTGTTTGCTGTCATGGTCACATATCAGTTCAAAACGTTTTAGCAAAGCTATGGAATTTTGTGTTTACATGACCTGCAAATCTCAGCAGATTCACTTATGAGTGATTTATGGACAGAAATCTTATAATAAAGCTCGAAATATCTCTAAGATCAGGCTACATCTAAGAGCACTAGCATCTCCCTCACTCTTCTAGTAAGGAAAAAAGAACTGAAAGTCTGGAGGTAGAAAAAATAAGAGAAAGCATTGCTAATTTTAGACATTATACATATAGTACACACTTTTAGCTTTACTTCCCTCCAAAGAGAACTTAAAAAGCATCACTAGCTAGTTACCAAGTACTACTTACATTGCAAGACAAAATCAATTCAAAACATCGCTCTTATCATTCCTAAATTCACCACCTAGCCAATGAATAAAGAGGATAAGAAATTGGTATATGCAAAAGAACATAGACATTAAAAGTTAATGTCCTGGAAGACTATCCCCATGCATTACGTTATAGTTCAGTTGAGTTTTCCCAGCACGTGCTTCCAGCACGCAAAAGATCACTAAAATAAGTTCAAGGTAAGACTACATGTACATGTGTTGAGGGCTGGGAAAAACTTCCTAATGAATTCCCCCAAGCAGCCTGGATATGGGCCACCTCATAATGCTACTGCAGAAGAAAAAAAGAAAAAACCCACAAACAAAAAACAAAACCACGACAAACGGAGGGTAAGATGATCTGAGGTAATTTCAATTAAAAGGTGAGTTAATGTGTCACATAACCCAACACACCCTCCCCTCTCCCCCCCCCCCAAACGTAGTCTTAAGCAACAAAGGTAAAAACAGTTAAGAGTAACCTAATTAAGTATGAGCAAGAACTCATGACAGCTAATATCACAGCCTAGAAACAGGTGTCACTAGCCAGCAGCCCAGCAACAGCAGGGAAGTTTCCTGTTGCTGTGGCTTTTGATATGAATTTGCTATCCTTTCAAATGTAGGTGCAGCAGCCATTGAGACACAACTGCAAACTGCTATTCAAACTTAAAGCCATCCATTTCACTTAAAGTAACCAAAAGGCCTAAATTTGTACTGCGTAACATTTCATAAATGTGTCTTTTTATTATTTCAATGTGCATTTTCACAGCTCAAAAGCCATGTTCCCCTATCCTTTAAGTCAAAGCTCAAGTGTGGATAATGGACCCAAAAAACAAGCTCTAAACTAATTTCTTCAGAGATGAGAGTCAATAGCAATTTTTCTGCGCAAGCGGCATGGGGAGGCATTCACACTCACTTTACCAGAACAGGTCAGCTAAGCAACAGCATGAGCTCCAGAATGTGAGCTGCCAATTGTACAAAAAACCCCTTCATTGTGAAACACTGCTATTTGAACCACAGCTTAAAATACTGTAAGCTAGCAGAACAAATGAAAGATGTTAAATGGAAGCAAAAATAATTCACACACAAAGCATTCTTTAATGGTTGCTTTTTGTTGGTTTGTGGTTGAGTTGGGTTTTTTCCCCCCACAAATAAAACCTGTAAGAATCTATTCCCTTTCAGATACAAGATGTTGTACACTCCTACTACTGTTAGTAGCTGACAAGCAGAGAAAAATACTCAATTTCCCTTAAGGAACTTCCTAATCTCTGCTCAGAGGAAGAAACAGACTTGGAATCAAGAGATGAAAAATTATAAGCAAAGTTTGGTTCAGAAGTTGTACATAGATATCCCTAAAGCTTTAAAGTACTATGGAATTCAAAGCGCAGATCAGATTGCTTAGACACAAGGCACTCAAACATAACCCCAAAAGCTAAAAAGTTGCAAAACAAGTGTTTATGGGGTATATAAAGGGTATGGAACACACACTTTAAAAGTCCTACTTAAAAAAAAAAAAAGCAGAGTAATATGTAGGATAACAGGCAGCGCAATAATCCAACAAGTGCATATCAAAACAGCGCAGAACCCCAGTTCTTGAAGCAATCTGTATTTAAGTAACTACACCAATGAGCAAAAAGTATCTTTCAAATGTTTTTTAAAGTGTCTCAAAAACCCATCACTACACACATGCATGGTATCACTCAAAAAACCCGCATTATGAAGCCAGCGTTTACTACGTTATTATTTAGTTGGTCTTAAAAACCTACCTACTAATCTGGGTTTCAACATCCAGAACAGGGGAGGTTTATCTGTATTAGTGATCAAAGATCAAAGATAAACTACAGCTAATGATACCGGTAGGTTTCTTCATACCATACTAAACTGCATACTTTAAATCATAAACACGAGCACAAGTGCCCAAAGCTTTTATCTGCTCTAAAACACTGACGTTATTGTTCATAATTTTCTAAAAAGAACAGATAGCAACTACTTAAAAAAATAATCCTCAAAGCCCTAAAAACTCTGCTTTGTAGTAACCCAGCTGAACAAAACTTTCAGACTTACAAAACTTGTTTCACATCCAGAACTGTACATATTCCATAAATTCCTTTCTCTAAGCCTTCTGCAAAGTGATCCAACTATTCAAGGAGTACAGCAACTGAGTAAGTGAACAGTGCATACCCACGCATGCACTCTCATCTCCAACATGCCAGGTATTTGCTGAATGTGAACTAAAGATTAATGGGAAAAGGGGCCTAAAAAGACTATGCATTCAAGACATTACTTACAAAGAAAATGCTATCAGTAGCTCATCAGCTTCTGCGAAAGCAAGAAGTTTTCTCCTTAAAGGCTCACTAATACACACAAAATCCTTCATAGCTTTTATCTACCATCCATTAAAGTCACTTTTGGAGACTGCCCCGTAGGCAGAGGAATGTCAGGGCACTAAATCCCTCTGGTTCCACTGACGCTCACGTACATACAACTCCATACATAACGCAGCTCCAGACAATTTTAAACACGGAGGACTGCGACTAACCCAACCTGAGGAAGGCATAATGCCTCCCATAGCTCAGTCAGCGAGCTTTCTTCAGCTCGCCCCTCAGCCAAGCAGCTGCAGCAGGGTGGAAAGGGAAGAAGAAAACCCAGGCGCTTTATCGTTAGAATAGAAAGGCAGCCACTACACCTAGATGGGGAGGAGAGACCCCCGCACACACCAGCGCCGACAGGACGCTCGAATGCGCCCCTCCTCCCTCCGAGGGACTCCGCAGGGCCAGGCCGGGGTAACGCCGAGCCGCGCCCCCACCCTCCCCGCCTGCCACCCCGGACCCGGCAGCGCGGAGAACACGGTGCCGCTGCTCCCCCAGCCGCAGCGCGGGTCGCGTCCGCCCCACCCGCGTCCTCCCACCCCGCCGGCAGCCCCGTCTCCCGCGGGGAGCCCGGGGGAAGGCAGCGGCGCGCTCTCACTCCCCACAGCGCGGCGTGGGGCTGCAGTCAGATGGGGCCGCCGGCGCCTCACTCACCTTCCAGCAGCCGGGTGATGAGGCTGTCCACGTTCAGCTCCCCATCCGCCATTTTGTGGCCACCAGACTCAGTCCCGGGCGGGGAGAGGGCGGGGTGGAGGGCGCTTTACGGAGGAGGAGGAGCAGGGAGAGGTGGCCGCAGCTGCAGTGGCTCCCCCCACCCCCCTCCGACAGTCCCCTGCGGCTGCCCGCCCGCCTTCTCCCGCGCTGGCAGCCGAAAGCGCCGCACCCGCTCCCTTACAGCTAAATGGGGGGAAGCGGCCACCCCTCCTCCCCACCCCTCCTCCCGCCTCGGAGGCCGCCACAGCGCATGCGCCCCCTCACCCCGGCCGCCTCTCCACCACCCGGCGCGCTGAGCACGGCGCAGGCGTCGGAGGAGCTGGCGGGCTCTGGGGCGCATGCGTAGAGCCTCACCCTCACTCCCGCGCTGAATTCCCGCGGTTGTCAGACGCGCTGCGGAGCGGGTGCTGGTCGGCGGCGCGGGCTGGGAGCTTTCAGGAGGGAGCTGCACAGCCTCACCGGCCCGGGCCGGGGTGTCGTGCCCTGTACTTCCTATGAATCCAAGACAGGGTCAGCCCCTCAGCTCCCGGGGAGCGCAGTGCCGTGAAGCCTTTCCTGTCACGACGGCTGCAGCGCCCGGTCGTGATGGCTGGGTACCGCTGTGGGCTGTCCTGTAGCTCGGAGAGCGGCTCCGAAGACTTCATCGTGTCTGTGGGCATCACTGCGTTTCTCGTGGTGCGCCACGTTCTGCTGCAAGGAAAGTGGCAGCATTAGCTTAAGAAGAAGTTACTTTGGCAGCTATCAATTGGGGACAAAAGGCACAGAAAAAAGTCGTAGTAGGCTGCGTGTAACCTGTGTGTCACCCTTTCTGCTGCCGAAACCGCCTGTGAAAGCTCAGTTTATTGAAAATACGTGTCAGAACTGGAATGACAAGTTCTGCTTTTCATAGCCGTCTAACGCAGCTGTCCGAAGAAGCTCCCAACCCGTGGGGCTTACGTTTCAATGCAGCTAGACGTGCTGAGAGTACTTTTTTTGGTGATTTCTGAAACTTCTTTTAAGATGATCTCTCTAAAGACGTGTTAAGTTTGCATACTTTCGTCAGTGGCTGCTTGCCTCTGGTGGGCAGAGAACTGCTTTAAAATGGAGGTGGTGAAAACTTCTGAACTGGGACAGCAGACAAACACATGTAGACAAAACAGCAAAGTGCAGACGTTCTAGAAAGAACAAAACAAAAACAAGGCTGCAGCTTATTTTTATGCCTAAATAGAGATGTCGATGAAGAAACTTGCCTCTGTGAGCTGGAGCTTTGAGTTATTCCATTGCTCTGTACAAGCCAGCGAAATCCCATCACCTTAAATAACTTCAAACCCTTCTTTTTTTTTATGTTAACCTCTTGAGCATAAAACGCGAAAAAAAAAAAGAAAAAAAAACTCAGAAAAAAAAAAAAGCAATCAGGGACGTCGGTTGGTGGGAGGGGGAGAAGGGCTGATATGAGGGGTGAAAGAAGATTGTGAGGGGAGACGGGGGTGGCCATGACTGAAGATCATGAGGGGAGAGCAGGGGCAACCATGAGGGGGGATCCTGAAGGGAAAGGAGGAGCGGCCATGAGGGAAGATAACGAAGAGAGAGCAGGAGTGGCCATGAGGAAAGATCATGAAGGGGGGGAGAAGGGGCAGCCATGAGGCGGGAGTGTGGGGGGAGAGGAGGTGAAGCCATGAGGCGGGAGTGTGGGGGGAGAGGAGGTGAAGCCATGAGGCGGGAGTGTGGGGGGAGAGGAGGTGAAGCCATGAGGCGGGAGTGTGGGGGGGAGAGGAGGTGAAGCCATGAGGCGGGATCGTGGGGGGAGAGGAGGTGAAGCCATGAGGGGATAGGAGGGGCGGCCATAAGGAAAGTTCATGAGGGGAGAGAAGGGGTGGCCATGAGGGAAGAACAGGGGCAATCATGAGGGGGGATCCTGGGAGGAGAGGCAGCCATGTAGGGGGGGATCATGAGGGGAGAGCAGAGATGGCCATGAGGTGGCATCATGAGGGGAAAGGCAGTCGTGACTGAAAATAATGGGGGTAAAGCAGGGGCGGCCATGAGGAAAGATCGTAAGGGGAGAGAAGGGGCAGCCATGAGGCAGGACCGTGGGAGGAGAGGGGGGGCAGCCATGAGGGGGGATCTTGAGAGCAGGGGCAGCCATGAGGGGGTCGTGAGGGGAGAGTGGGGGCGGCCAAGAGGGGGGGTCATGAGATGACAAGTGGGGTCTCTTGAGGGAAGATCATGAGGGGGGAGCAGGGGTAGCCATGAAAAGAGGATCTTGATAGGAGAACCCTGTCGGGCATGACTGAAAACCGTTATGGGAGAGGAGGGTCAGCCATGAGTGAAAATCGTGAGGGGAGAGCAGAGGCAACCATGCAGGCACAACATGAGGGGAGAGCAGGGGTGGCCATGAAAGAGGATCCTGATAGGAGAGCAGGTTCGGCCATGACTGAAAATCGTGATGGGAGAGGGGGGGCAGCCATGAGTGAAAATCGTGAGCAGGGGCAACCATGAAGGGGGATCGTGGGGGGAGACGAGGGGCAGCCATGAGGAGGCGGTATCTTGAGGGGAGAGCAGGGATGGCCATGAGGAAGGATCATGAGCAGAGATGCGTCGCAATCATGAAAGAAGATCATTAGGGGAGAGCAGGGACAATCATAAAATAGTTAGGGTTGGAAAGGACTTTAAGATCATCCAGTTCCAAATGCCCTGCCATGGGCAGGGACACCTCACACTAAACCATGTCACCCAAGGCTTTGTCCAGCCTGGCCTTGAGCACTGCCAGGGATGGAGCATTTACAACTTCCCTGGGCAACCCATTCCAGTGCCTCACCACCCTAACAGTAAAGAACTTCTTTATATCCAGTCTAAACTTCCCCTGTTTGAGTTTGAACCCATTACTTCTTGTCCTGTCACTGCAGTTCCTAATAGAGTCTCTCTCCAGCATCCTAACAGGCTCCTTTCAGATATTGGAAGGCTGCTATGAGGTCTTCAAGAAGCCTTCTCCAAGCTGAACAGCCCCAGTGAGGAGGGATCCTCAGGGGAGAGCAGGGGCAGCCATAAAGGAATATTGTGAGGGGAGAGCAGGAGCAGCCATGAGGGGAAAAGAGGGGTGGCCATGAAGGACGATCATGAGGGGAGAGAAGGGGTGGCTGTGAGGGAAGATTATGAGGGGAGGGCAATGGCGGCCATGAGGGGGGATCATGAGTGGAGAGCAGGGGTGGCAATGAGGGAAGGTCGTGAGGGGGGAGCAGGAGCAGCCATGAGGGAAGAACAGAGTCAACCGTGATGGAGGATCATGAAGGGAGAGAGGGGGCAGCCGTGAGAGGGGATGGCGAGGGGAAAGCAGAGGCAACCATGAAGAATGATTATGAGGGGAGAGCAGGGGTGGCCATGGCTGAAAATGGAGAAGAACAGGGACAACCACGAGGGGGGATCCTGAGGGGAGAGGAGGGGTAGCCATGAGAGGGGATCATGAGGGGAGAGCAGGGGCACCTGTGAAGGAACAACATGGGGGGAGAGCAGGGGTGGCCATGACTGAAAATCTTCAGGGGAGAGGAGGGGCAGCCATGAAATAAGATCATGAATGGAAAGCAAGGGTAACCCTGAAGGCACAACATGAGGGGAGATCAGGGGTGGCCATGACTGAAAACCATGAGGGGACAGGAGACTCACCCATGAAATAAGATTAAGATCATGAGGGGAAAGCAAGGCCCCCTGAGAAGGAACAAGAGGGGAGAGCAGGGGTGGCCATGACTGAAAAGAGTGAGGGGAGAGAAGGGGCAACCATGAGGGGGGATCATGGGGGGGGGGGGAGAGAAGGGGCAGCAATGAGGGGGGATCATGGGGGGGAGAGGAGGGGCAGCCATGAGGGGAGATTTTGTGGGGAGAGGAGGGGCAACGATGAGGAAAGATAATGGTGGGAGGGCAGGGGTGGCTGTGAGGAGACACCATGAGGGGAGAGAGAAGGGGCAGCCATGACAGAAGATCATGAGGGGGGGATCCTGAGGGGAGAGGAGAGGCAGCCATGAGGGGGGATCTTGAGGGGAGGGAAAGGGCGCCCATGACGGAAGATCATGAGGGGGGGATGCTGAGGGGAGAGGAGAGGCAGCCATGAGGGGCATCTTGAGGGGAGAGAAGGGGCAGCCATGATGGAAAATCATGAGGGGGGATCCTGAGGGGAGAGGAGAGGCAGCCATGAGGGGGGATCTTGAGGGAAGAGAAGGGCGCCATGAGGGAAGATTATGAGGAGGGGAGAGCGGGGACAGCCGTGAGAAGACATCGTGAGCAGAGATGTGGGGTGGTCATGAGGGAAGATCATGAGGAGAGCGCAGGGGTAGCCATGACAGAGAATCCGGGTAGGAGAACAGGTTGGCCACAGCTGAAAATGGTGATGGCAGGGGAGGGGCAGCCATGAGTGAAAATCGTGAGAGGAGAGCAGAGGCAACCATGCAGGCACAACATGAGGGGAGAGCAGGGGCGGGCATGAGAGAACATCGTGAGGGAAGAGCAGGTTCGGCCATGACTGAAAATCGTGATGGGAGAGGGGGGGCAGCCATGAGTGAAAATCGTGAGCAGGGGCAACCATGAAGGGGGATCGTGGGGGGAGACGAGGGGCAGCCATGAGGAGGCGGTATCTTGAGGGGAGAGCAGGGATGGCCATGAGGAAGGATCATGAGCAGAGATGCGTCGCAATCATGAAAGAAGATCATTAGGGGAGAGCAGGGACAATCATAAAATAGTTAGGGTTGGAAAGGACTTTAAGATCATCCAGTTCCAAATGCCCTGCCATGGGCAGGGACACCTCACACTAAACCATGTCACCCAAGGCTTTGTCCAGCCTGGCCTTGAGCACTGCCAGGGATGGAGCATTTACAACTTCCCTGGGCAACCCATTCCAGTGCCTCACCACCCTTACAGTAAAGAACTTCTTCCTTATATCCAGTCTAAACTTCCCCTGTTTGAGTTTGAACCCATTACCTCTTGTCCTGTCACTGCAGTTCCTAATAGAGTCTCTCTCCAGCATCCTAACAGGCCCCCTTCAGATATTGGAAGGCTGCTATGAGGTCTTCAAGAAGCCTTCTGCAAGCTGAACAGCCCCAGTGAGGAGGGATCCTCAGGGGAGAGCAGGGGCAGCCATAAAGGAATATTGTGAGGGGAGAGCAGGAGCAGCCATGAGGGGAAAAAAGGGGTGGCCATGAAGGACGATCATGAGGGGAGAGAAGGGGTGGCTGTGAGGGAAGATTATGAGGGGAGGGCAATGGCGGCCATGAGGGG